CTTGGTAATAGCGGAGGCTAGTAGGATCGCGCATTCGGGTCTAAAATGGCGCGCGATGTAGTTCGACATGACCGTTCCGTCGTTCTTTATTACGCGACGATTACCTTGGATTCCAAGAAACGCGGAACGCTATCGCATTAATCGTCTGTTCTCTGTGCGACTCGGTCCCGGTGTTGAGTGTCGCCTCGTACGGCGAAATATGATTCTGTGGACGTTCCTGGCCTACATTGCCGCTCATTATGTGATCGAAAGTAAACGCACCTCGGGCCTCGTCTCGACGGAACGACAGGAAACAATGGGTCACGCTGCGGGACGCAGCCGTGGCGACCACCAGTCTCATCAGGTGTATCGCGCCGTCTTCTCTTTCTCCCTTTTCTTTTTCTTCCAGTTACTGATGCGTCCAGGTCATTCGGGGGAGTGGCTCGACACGCCGCGGGATCATTCAGGGCCGTTTTTCGATAAAACGGAGGAAGGCCGATCTATCGCAGTCATTAACCCTTAAATGCATATTGTTGCCAATTGTCTACATTCCAGTTCCACTTAATTTTATTCAAAAACCTGAGTATGTGCGTTTCCGAACACACGTTGATGACGATAGACAATAGACCATGTGTGAAATAAAAAACTAGACATTACTTTTGGCGAGTAAGTTATGTGTCTTTTGACATTTGAATGTGGTGGGTGATAACCTTCAATGTGTTACTTGGAGAGATATTTTCTTTTTCCGAGTTTCACGGACTGAGTGCATCAAATGCTAGGTTGTTTTGTGTCACAACAAAAATCGCAATTGCTTTGCTGTATTTCATTTATAAATAATATGAAAATTCCTATACTAATAGATAATATAAATACATGACCATTTGTTTACGTCTACAATAATTTTAGTAATAAACGCATATTGTTGCCAAAAGTCTACATACAACTTTTTTTCTAAATAAATACTCAATATTATTACCTGCATGCATCCATCTCCTCGATCTTGGCCGGAATATTGATATTGAGTCGTCTACTGTCGCGAAAAATGTTGTATGTAAAAATATTACTAATTGGTTAACAAGATTTTTACGTAGTTTGATTCTGAGCCGATGATGAATCACTTTCGTCAAAAATATTGAATAACTGTTAAAACACTAGATAAGAAATCAAATGATTGAGCTTAATGGAGGTAGATGAATCTGGCATAGTTAAAATGCATACATTTTCTTATTCTTAAGCAGATTATATATTTCCTTCAATTTTTTAAATAGCATTAGTGCCAGTAGATCGACCGAAGAGCTGTTTTCATGAACAGCATAGAATATGTGCCGTCACACTGTAATCGAAATCGCTCGGTATGTGCCAAAACGTGCACTGCTAATTTAATCAATGTGTAATGAGTAAATAAGCTATTCTGGCTGGACTGGTTTGCTTCCTTCTAATACTACCGATGCAATTCAATCGTCACCTTTCCCGATGCAGTTGTTCTAGCCGCGCATATAAAAGCGAAGTTTTTCCTGGAATCGTTCCTTTACTGGAATCGTTAGTTTCGCCCAGTTTCCTTCGACCTTTCATTTTTAATAAAGAGACAAGTGCGAACGTTCCGCGAAAGTGTGCCGTTACAGACATTTAAAGGATCGCGTTATCCGGGGAAGCATTTCTTTGTGCATTTGCAGAGGAAAGTAATGCACAGCAGATGGCTGTGCCCAACGCAAAGAACTTGGATCTTATTTCGTAAGATCGCGTTCGAACGGCGTCAAGCCGGCAAGAACGTTGCTTAAAACTTTGCTTTTAAAACCGCCGTTGGGTTCAGAAACACGGATAAATCCTATCCAAGAAAAATTTCGCTACCGTTACGCGAACTCGGTAACTTCAGCGAAAATCGTCGGATAACGAAAGAAAGAAATGTTTGTTTATCGCGTACAGCGTTGTACCGAGAAATTTATCGTACATTACGAGAATGTTATTCGCGAATTTATTGTGATATACATTGTCGATTAAACAAGTGGATAACGGGAACACGTTGCGCCCATAATTCTGCGAGAACGTGTTGCGAAATAATTCGAGATTAACGCGAAACGTTATTCCGCTTCGACACAACAATTTATTTTCACGCGACCGCTATCGTCGGCGATAGTAAACACAGCCATACCTATTCCGTAAAGACGGGAAACAATAGAAAATTAACAGGGGTTCAACGTTCCGGTTATTAATACTTTCTATAACATAATAAACGATAGAAAATAAGAAAGATATTATGTAAAATTGTAAAAGCATATATTACGGAAAAATGTGTTTAAATAGCGGGAAAATCCATTGTTTCGTTCAGCGCGCGGTAAACAAACGAAAGTCTCGCGTCGGAGAAATCAATTTCTATTTTCACATCGCGGCAGCATCGCCAGACACGAATACCATCCCCTATAGCGAAAGCTAAAGGGAAAAAAGAGAGAAGAACGGAACATCCCTCAACATGTTCGCGGCGCAGGCTATGAAAATGTCTGTACAGGTTTTTGAGACGGCGAAGCGAGCGGAGATAAGGGTGGAAAAACGTCGGGTCGTGTGATCGTCCAGAAAGCGGCTGGAGTGGGGATTACGAGGGGTTAGAACCTGCGCCTAAGTTTACCCCTTCCCGGCGCATGCTCCTGCACCACTTTTCCCACCCTGTCGCCGAGGTTTGACTCCCGATATGATCGGAAAAAGGAGCCAGAAGCTAAACTGCCACCCTTCGCCACCCTCTCCTGAACTCGTTTTCAGCCCCCAGCATTTTAAGTCGTTACCGTGCACGCTAAACTACGGCCATTTCAATTCATTGAATCGCTTGATACTGTAATTGCATCGGCACCTTCCGAATCAATTGGTTACGATTATTTTTACCGTCGTCGGATTAATCGACGTCAATTTTCACCGCAGATATCGACTCGTGCAATTAAATTTTACTCTTTCTGTTCAAAATTTATTGATTCATGAATGGCTGGGGTTATATATATAAATATTTTTCAACTGGAATTGGGGAGTCTATCTCGAATTAATTGTCGTCGATCTTTAACGCTACTTGTACATCACAAACTTATAATTACATAGAATCGTGATTTTTCAGTTATAAATTTTATTATTTTATGTGCATGGGACAATGATCTGTTATTAATTTTCACTTGAAATTGAACGAGAAACAATTCTGTTCCCGGGGTCGAGATTATTTGTTGACTCTGAAATGCTTGCTGATATTTCGACTACTGTTTCATTCGTATAAATTTCATTGTTAAATTTTCATGAGAGGTCTCGAGAGATTAATTTCAATTTAAACATTTACGTGCGTAATGTTGGAAGGCGCATTGTCATAATTTTCAACACAATTGTAAACGAGTGTGTTCGCTTAAAAATCAAGGTTATGTCAAGTGTTGGAAAATTGTATCGCATGCAAGAAAGTATAAGCGAAAGATAGGGGTCAAAGCATTATGGTCTTCTTTGAAGTTACAAAGTGTAAAACGTTTTCGAAAATGTTTCTAAGGGAAAAAATATTCCGGCGCAAGGCGCGAAGGTAGAATATTGCACGAACTTTTCACTAAAGAAGAATTGTTGACAGAAGGAAGGTCCTTTCGCACAGTTGTCTCTTTAACGATAATGAACAATCCACCGCGAATACTTTGCGTTTTCCTTAAATCTGCTTATTTTCTAAAAAATTGCAGAACCGCAAAACAATATCTTTATGAATATATATTCCTTACAAGCATTTTCCTATCAGTTCATTCCTGTTTATGAAATATCAAAGAAAAAGCAAAATAAAAGTGATAATGAAAAAGACTTGAAAAATTATAATATCGAGGAGCATCGCATCACTGAAACTGCAGACTTCGTCCCATTGTCCTCTTTTCATTTCACGACACTGTTTCCAAAGTACCAACAGGACAAAATTAAAACCAAAAGTAACAGATTGAAAATCAAATAAAATGAAACAATTAGAAAATCGTTGTATCACTGTAACAACACACTTTCCCCAGTCATTCTCTTCGCATTTTCCAAAAATCTTCAAGAGATAAAACAAAACCAAAGAGAACTCCACAAAAAATAGAATAAAATTTCAAAATTACAAAACTATTGTAGCACTGTATCACTATATCACAAATTGTTTCCGATTATCCGTTCGTTGCACAACGCCCTTATCCCAAAATCCCAAAGAGACATAATGAAAATAAATGGAATCTCGTCGAAAATAGAAAATAAAAGATAAAATAAAAAATGGAAAAACTACTCCAACACAATATCACTGTATCACAAAATGTCTTCGATCATCTCCTCCACGCATTACTCTGTGCTCCAAGTTTCGAAAAGAACGAAACTAAAATAAACAGAGCCTAGTCAAAAATAGAATAAAATAAAAAAATCATGAAACTACTCGAGTACTCTATCACTATTGCACAAACTGTCCGCATTAAACGAAATATGTATCGATTAAAAAATGCAATAAAATCAGAAACATCGCCGGCAGACGAGAGAAACGTTTAAACCGCTCCCGAAACGTCCGTATAGCATTGAAACTCGTTTCGATCGCATCAGCGGGCGGCGCAGCGCAACCCTTCTTTCCGATCAGGTCGTTGAAGTCACCGATACTTCCGATACCTGATACAGCGCATCGTGTCCTCGTGGCCAATGCTGGAAGGGGTGCCGGTGGTTGGTGGGGGTGGCCACCCTCGCGTTCCACTGGTGGGTTTTGAAGTCTGTCCGCGTCGCGGCGCCACCGTACGGCCTGCGCGGCCGTCGTCCCTTGGCGGTGGCCAGGCAAACTTTTGTCCGCAGTGTCGGCAGTTCTTAACCCGACAACTGTCTCTTTCCACGCGTCTCGGTCTCTTGGCTCGGCGATACGTTTCCCCAGACGCATCCGACACCGGTGGCGGCCGAACGCGTCTCGACCGCGTCGTAGAATCGCGGTGGAAAGAGCCAGATGATCGGCCCCCGTGGGACAATAGTTTCGCCAGGGTGGAAAAGTGCGTGGCTGGAGGGATGACTGCGAGGGCTGCAGGAGCCGAGCGTTCGAGTTAGTCTCGGCCAGAACACAGGCCCAGTAGGATCTGCGTGCACGTACTGGATCCGCGAACGGTGCGTGTGGACCTAGCTAGTCGAAGGGTACATCTTCCCCACCCCTCTCCGATGCGCGGTCGCGAGTTTCGCGTTTCGGAAAAAGTTGTGTCCGACCGTAAAGTGGGTCCGGACCCGCCGACCCACCAGTGCACAGGTGATTATCTGGTGAATGAATTGTGGTTCTGTGAATCAAGCATGGGTGACGTCCGATCACCTACCCCTTTCCGATCACACGCATATACACGCACACACCTCGGTTCTTCTCGGGTTCCGATACCGTAGAAAGCAGCCACGAATAATTGATCGGTGTTTTCTCTCGCGGTCGGGTCCCATCGGGCGCGACAACGTGGTACGTTGATAAGGAAGCCCTTTCGATTGTGATTCCTACGCTACCCGCGAAGTTGACAAGCACGCACGTGCAGCCATGCCCCTCGGATTATCTGAAAGCCGAAACGCGCGGCCCGGCCGGCTGGAACGTGACCATCGGACGGATTCTTGATCGTCGTCGCGGGCTCGGAGCTCTATCTAGACCCGGTCAACCAACTCTTTGCCGAGACAGAGAGAGAAAAGAACGTCGTGAACACGAGAACCGAGTGATAGCGCCTAGCTGACTGGCTAACCTCGACGAGACAACGTCGCATTGGGGGACTGATTAGGGACAAGCGAAATCGGAATTCCGATTCGCGAATCTGTGGGTTTTTGATCGTGGTCTCTGAGACGGATTCGCGATGCTGGACGAATTGTAGGATTCGTTTTATTTATTAGGTTCATAGTATTACCTTCAAAATATATTTTTGAAGTCGGTCTCCTTTTTCTGAGGATTCTCGAATGTGGAATTTTGTGGTTTTCGAAATGCGACTGGTGAACGATTCGAGATAGATCTGAAAGAATATAAAGTAGTTGTCTTATCGAAGAAATTTACTACATCTGTCTATTTTCCGAAAGTTGTTCTGCCTTTTTCGACGTTATTCATTTCGGAAATATTTGTCCGAGAGACTCGATGACCAAACGTGTTAAATCATGATCATTAGCTATGTTGCCGTGAAAAACTGTGCAAAAATTTGTGACAACAAAAGTGTATTCAAAACGAATGTTCTTTTTACATATGTTTTTGTTGACGTGACAGTAAAATGGACGAACGACACAGTAGAATCGTTCTTTACAAAAACAGAGCTTACGAAGCACATCTCCAAATTTTACTGCGAAATAGCAAAAATATTTTGTACTTCAAAATTAGCATTCTCGCGATCGTTCTTCTCAGGAATGACTGCCAGTGATCGAGAAACTCCGTGAGAACAAATTCTGAAGTGTCTACACTCGATTTTCTTAGTTTTTCTCTCTCTTTCAACTGAATTTGATTGACAGTAATTATCAGATGTTTAAAAATATTGTTTTTTCTTTATGGAGTGTTTATCAGAGGAAATCCAGCTTCCAGGTGATCGCTTAAAACGAAATTCCTCTTGAATCAATCTTAAACAAAATCCGCAGGAGTCGAGCAACAGTGATTTGAAAACAGTGTAACATGTTTCCTCAAAGTCATCAGAAAATTCTAGACATCTCAGCGGCAACTACAACGCAAATTATTTCTCTATGAACACGAAATTCTTATCAAACCGAACATAGTTTCCTGCCGTCTAAAATATCGTTCCATCATCAGAAAAAATTCTCTGGAAGCTTCACCAGCACAACTTCGCCGGTTCTTCAAAACAATTATCTAAATCCTCTTCGCAGTGATCAAGAATCATCTTCTGTCAAAGTGCCGTGAAAAACAACCCCTACAGAAACTATCTATGAAAGTCGGTCTAATTGTTCTTCGATCAAAATTGCAGAAGAGCAATCCCCAGTGATCCGGAAAAAAGTATCGTTGTCCGAATGTGTCTTTTTAGCACCGTCGTCAGAAACCACCCTTAGTTTTGGGTTTTGCCGAAGCAACCACTGAATTTGTTGAAAGGAGACCGTTCCTGGAGTGGTTTCTTCGTCGAGGCGTTCTGCAAAGAGGTCTCGGAATCCCTGTGTCGCGTGCAGCAACCCCGCGTGTCGTGATTATCTTATCCAGCTTGAGGAAAGAGAGAAAAAAATAAATCCGGCCTCGCACGATGTCCCTGAGCGCGGCTCTTGAACTTAGAACGCTGCGCATCCTTCGTTCGCCGGAAGATATTGTTACAATCGCCCTCGAACAGCGTCGCGTTGCTTCCCGAAGGGGGTCGCGAGGCCGAGGGGGGCACGGAGGGTGGCGTTTATCGTCGACCGGTATATTGAGTAGCGTGCGACCGTTTCAAGAAAGCGAGTCCCGCTGCTGCGACCAGCGAAATTCCACGAGTCCAGCCGTCACCGTTGGTACCGCGTCGTTTCGACGGATCTTCGACGGTTCTTCCCTGGTCCCAGGTTATTTAACGTCCGATTATCCATGCGCGATTTCACGAAAACCACGAACTCGCTCTAATTTCGTGCCACGCGCAACGAATTTTGTGAAAATCAATCGATTTTTAGGGGGCTGGTCAAGCGACCTGTGTCCAGGACGACGCTTCGTTTCTTTGAGGACGATAATTCCTGCAGCGATATTCGTCGAATTTTCTAACCTGCTGGAAGTACCAGAGGCATTTTCCCGCGCTTTGTGGTGTTTAGAGATCAGTGACACTGTGCATTAGATATTATGTGCCTAGAGGCAGGACGTTGATTTCGGTGATGTGAGAATTGTGGAAGACGTTGAAGAGTGAGTGAAAGCAGGTAAAGTTTTCAAAGCTTGTTCTATACCGCCTTGGTCAGTGACAGAAAGAGCTGTTTTCTAAAATTTGATCGTAGATTTAGTGAAACCAGTGTGCTATAGCTAACCTTCTGCCAAACAGGTTCACAGATTCAGGCATTCTGTTCGTTTCTGTTTTAGAATGACGAGTAGCATTTATTTCTTTTCGATGTTTCGCATAATCGAAGCAGATGCTCCTTAGTTGTCGTTGATTCGGGCGAATTATGCTTCGACGTGGTTCGGTCGCGGTTAAAATTTTCGTAACTCTGAGACGATGGTTGCGAAACCATCTCGACAACAATGCTCCCAAGACGCATTGGCGATGGAAATGCAGGCGCGTGTACGCGCACGCCGGCCCGCGTTGACAAACTAATCCCCGCGTTATATCGGATGATCGTATAGTACGCGCTGACAACTCGACAACGCGTAGTATTTTCGTGGGCGGCTGCGACGAATTTTCGTCGGCGTGGACATCTTCATTTTACTGAGAACGCGCCCCATCCTCGGATGTTTTTCCCGATATCTAATCGATGCCAACGTTGTCTAACGTCATTATTACGTCGACATTTTGAAACACGTAGTAAATTTGTCTAAGTCTGATTGACGTTTTCTTTACTCTTCGAATCAATTTTTTTCATAAATTATACTTGGACAGAAAAATGAATCTCCTTTTATTGTCCATCAAATTTCTCCACCTCTTGGTCAATAGCATTTTTATTCGTCGTCCGAAGCCAGTCTTATCGACATCTCGCCAATTGCTGCGGTTTCTGGCTTCGTCGAATTTTCTTCGATTTTGCAAGTTCTTCCGTAATTTCTTGTTCGGTCATCGTCAGTCCGATGATTTTCCGGGAGGGCTAATCGATCGAGGAGAAAGCCACAGCAACAAGTACGCAACGTTGGTGGCGTGAATCGAGTTACACAGTTGTTTTCGTTTCCGCGTCAACAGCGACTATCATCCACCGGCGATGATTAACTCCGTGTAACCGGCGAACGCCGCAGAAATTAAAGTTGCATTATCCGAGACCCGGCACCGGTTAACTCGACTGTCACGAAGTGTGCTTAACACGGTAACGCGGATTAACGCGTTCGCCGGAAGCTGCACGCCTTTCATGACTTCCTTGAATCGACACGTTCACCCCCGGCAGCTTCTCCGCCTTATCGAACCCACATCGGAATTTTTCTAAGACGTCATGCATCGTCTTCCTTCGTGTTTAGACTATTGTTACCGTTCCTCCGCGAGATCGCTTTACACTCGATGATAGTTCAAATATCCCAGTTCGACAAACCTTCGAACGTTCGCGCAGCGAGACAAAATAGATCCGCCACGATGGTCAGCGTCTGAAATAACGTCCACTCCAGCATCGAGGCCACGAATCGCCGATTCGAAATCCGCTCGCGCGAAATTCGATCGGCCGTGTTCGACAAATGAGTAACTCAATCGAGGCGCTGACTCGGCGAACAACCAGCAGCTCATGCGTGTGCGTTTTCGTCGAGTTTCGTTATTTACACAACTCGCCGGCACCTCGAGGCTGCTTTCCGAGAGAGACAGAGAGAGAGAGAGANTTTCGCATAATCGAAGCAGATGCTCCTTAGTTGTCGTTGATTCGGGCGAATTATGCTTCGACGTGGTTCGGTCGCGGTTAAAATTTTCGTAACTCTGAGACGATGGTTGCGAAACCATCTCGACAACAATGCTCCCAAGACGCATTGGCGATGGAAATGCAGGCGCGTGTACGCGCACGCCGGCCCGCGTTGACAAACTAATCCCCGCGTTATATCGGATGATCGTATAGTACGCGCTGACAACTCGACAACGCGTAGTATTTTCGTGGGCGGCTGCGACGAATTTTCGTCGGCGTGGACATCTTCATTTTACTGAGAACGCGCCCCATCCTCGGATGTTTTTCCCGATATCTAATCGATGCCAACGTTGTCTAACGTCATTATTACGTCGACATTTTGAAACACGTAGTAAATTTGTCTAAGTCTGATTGACGTTTTCTTTACTCTTCGAATCAATTTTTTTCATAAATTATACTTGGACAGAAAAATGAATCTCCTTTTATTGTCCATCAAATTTCTCCACCTCTTGGTCAATAGCATTTTTATTCGTCGTCCGAAGCCAGTCTTATCGACATCTCGCCAATTGCTGCGGTTTCTGGCTTCGTCGAATTTTCTTCGATTTTGCAAGTTCTTCCGTAATTTCTTGTTCGGTCATCGTCAGTCCGATGATTTTCCGGGAGGGCTAATCGATCGAGGAGAAAGCCACAGCAACAAGTACGCAACGTTGGTGGCGTGAATCGAGTTACACAGTTGTTTTCGTTTCCGCGTCAACAGCGACTATCATCCACCGGCGATGATTAACTCCGTGTAACCGGCGAACGCCGCAGAAATTAAAGTTGCATTATCCGAGACCCGGCACCGGTTAACTCGACTGTCACGAAGTGTGCTTAACACGGTAACGCGGATTAACGCGTTCGCCGGAAGCTGCACGCCTTTCATGACTTCCTTGAATCGACACGTTCACCCCCGGCAGCTTCTCCGCCTTATCGAACCCACATCGGAATTTTTCTAAGACGTCATGCATCGTCTTCCTTCGTGTTTAGACTATTGTTACCGTTCCTCCGCGAGATCGCTTTACACTCGATGATAGTTCAAATATCCCAGTTCGACAAACCTTCGAACGTTCGCGCAGCGAGACAAAATAGATCCGCCACGATGGTCAGCGTCTGAAATAACGTCCACTCCAGCATCGAGGCCACGAATCGCCGATTCGAAATCCGCTCGCGCGAAATTCGATCGGCCGTGTTCGACAAATGAGTAACTCAATCGAGGCGCTGACTCGGCGAACAACCAGCAGCTCATGCGTGTGCGTTTTCGTCGAGTTTCGTTATTTACACAACTCGCCGGCACCTCGAGGCTGCTTTCCGAGAGAGACAGAGAGAGAGAGAGAGAGAGAGAGAGAGAGAGAGAGTGAGAGTGAGAGAGAGAGAGAGAAAGTGAGTGAGAGAGCGAGTGTGGCGGGGAGGGGGTAGGGGCTGGATCGGCGATCGATCCTCTCGCTGCGAGACCGAGTCGAAGAACCACCCCCGAAACCGAACGAAAATTCCAACGGGACCAAAACAAGCCGGCAGCTTCCGCAGCGAGAGGATCCGGTCGGAAGGGAAAAATGGAAGTCGCTGCGACGGTGGGGGATAGAGCTGGACCGGTCTCCTCTCGGTCCCCCGAAAAAGGACCCCGCATTTAGTAACCCTTTCGAAATTGAATCTCACCTCGTTGTCGTCGCTCGCGTCTGAAAATCGTAACGGCGCTCGGAACAAAGGCCGCTCAGTCACCAAAGAGCAATCGAAGGGTTAGTGTCTGAGCGGGGTGAGGTGGGGAGGGGGTCCGAGGGGGGCCGGCGCGAGGAGGAGGAGGAGGAAGAGGTAGGAGGAGGAGGAGGGTGGCAGAGCCCGCCGCTCGCGCGGTGTATGTGTGCGCGCGGAGGGAGGGTGAAAATAAGAAACATAGATACAATGAGAAGGGAGACGCCGGGAGAAAAAGAGGAACGAAAGAAGAAGAAGGGAACCGACGATCGGCAGGGGTTGGAGAAAAGGGCGTTCGGGGAGCTGAAAATATGAGATCCGCTCTGGTAGGGACCACCTAGCCAGCCTCCGGTCCTTTCCGCCACGTCTCCCACCGGCGACCAGCTTATCCCCACCGTCGCGACGCTCTCCTCTGAACGCCAGTATCGCGAACAGTGGTGGGGATCGGGGCGCGCCGACTATTGGCGGTCGAGTGGGCCGGCCTACCCCCTCCGCCGGCCGATAGCCCCGCCCCATCCCTTCCAGAGTTCGTGCACCTCCTCCAGACATCACATCGGTCGTTCGGTAGCTCTTAGTTTCAGGTTAGGAGCCTGCTAGGACGGGTCTCGTACACTCTTCCCGAGAACTGCCGAGGCGGAGGCGAGCCGAGGCGGAGGCGAGGCGAGGCGAGGCGAGGCGAGGCGAGACGGGTCGAGTCGAGACGAAACGAGACGAGGGAAAATAGCGGCGGCAGTGAAGTGTGACCGCGTGCAGTGCGTGCAGTCGGTTTGAACCGCCGCGAGTGTGGGTGTGATATGCCGTCGCGTGAACCACGGGCAATCTGATGCGCGCCGCCTGAACCCCGAGATTCGAACGCCTGGCGGGTTGTGTTCGGGCAGGACAGGCCCGTCAATGACTCTGGTGAACACGGGCACGGGTACGACTGCGACCACGACGAGGACATTGTGCGAGTACGTGTGACCGTGGGACCAGTGTGTGGTGCGACAGATCCAGTGTGTTCCGGGACAGTGTCCGGGACTAACGAACAGGAAGAGACGGTAGCGACGGGCCCGCCGGCCGAGGCGTGCGCCCCAGGAGGCGTCGGCGGCGCCGGCAATCGAAGGGGAACGGTTTTGGGCCCGGCGGAGAAGCTCGAAGCCGTCAAAGTGGCTTCGTCACTGGGCCTCCAGGGGCCATCAGCGCCGATCGGGGCCCAACTATTGGCTAATGCCGGCTCAGAGGATGCACCGGCCGTGTACCACGCGAATCTGCTAGCCAGCAGCAACGCATCCGTGCTCCAGCAGCCTGTTCTAGCGAGCCTGAACACGCCGGTACTGGCCAGCATGCAGGCCTCTGCGGAGGCCAACTCGCTGGACATTCAGGCCATGCAGTCCATGGACTGGCTGTTCAAGAAGGAGCGTATATACCTGCTCGCCCAGTTCTGGCAACAGGTAAGTGATCCATCGAACGACAGAACGTGTGCTGCGTCTTCTACTACTTCTTCTGCGTGTGTCATGACAGTGTCCGCCTAGGAGATTAGCAAACCTGCGTCCACCCTCGTTGAACGTGTCGACGATCTATCGCGGGGAGTTGTACTTTGTCGCATTCTCATGGACGCTCTAGAAATCGAGGAAATAGTGGTGTGCGATCAAAGCCGTATGTGAAGTGATCACAGGTTTTGGATGATCGGTTTAGCGATCGTGCCCTGATCCGACCGAGTGTTAAGGATTTACTTTTTGGTTTTTCTTGATTTCTCTGTCTCTCTTTGACCTTTCGTTCGAAGAGAAAGGGATCGTGGTGTGGACATGGCATAATAAGATACCGTTTTTGGGGGTCGAACGAGTGACGATCATTCCTAAGCGATCGCCGGGCCGATCGAATCGGGTTCCGTGAGTTTTTCGGTCGGTAATTGCTGGTCAGGTTCCTGGCCACTTGGCCGACCCCGAGTTTCAACGAGGGTGCGAGGGTGGCGAAGTTTCCCCGACACTTGCTGTTTGGAGGATAGTTCAGCGATTTAGGGGATGGCTCGACCGACTTGCGGCAAAGTGGCCTACATACAGTGGTTGACAACCGTCCTCGACAGTGGCCGCAGTTCGATTCTATTCGTGAAAACGTGTTCGGTTCACCGAGAAAAATAGGGAAAGACTTCGCGAACGATCGGAATGAGTCGAAATTTCATGATCTATCGTTCGATTTCGGAGTGACTCGACGATAGTTAGTGGTGTCACCGAGGGCGACGTTTAGGAGAAATTACTACAAGCTTCTCCGGTGTTTAAGATATCCGAGGTCTCGAACGACCCGTGGGAAACAGAATTTCAATTTCGTCTCTCGTTGACAAGCAGAGCTGTCAGCTTTCCTCCAGTGTACGTGAAAAACGCCGTCACAGCCGTCAAAGTCATAACCGCAAGAGTTGCACAAACCCTCCACGGTTGTTTGCACAAGAAATTCTTGAGACCGTCTCGAAAAGTGAAATTGATTTACGCGAAATTGACGGACACTTCTTGGATACGCGTACGACAGATTCATTTATAACCGATACGCCGATACTAACCGTCGAAAAAATTAGCAGATATTCCTCGTCATCCTCCGAGGAAACTTTTCCGTCATTAGCCTTTCGTTCGGCACACGGCTCTCGAAACCGGCACGTGTCCAGGCGTCGCGGATAAATTGATATTTCTGTGAACAACGAAAACGATAGTTGTGAACGAGCGGTTTGACAGCGGCCGTAAAACGCGGCAGGTTCTTCCGGGTGCGGGACGCGCGATCGTCCCGCTCAACTAGCTGTTTTCGACAAAACACAGTCGCTTAATAACGGAGCGGGCAGGCGCGGCACGGCGCGCGCGGCGCGGGCCGGCCCGGACACCGATACCGGATTACGACCCGGCGCACCGGGGTCAGGACTATTAATACCACATAGTTTCATAATTATGTCTATTGATTAGGCCAAGGGGGTTAACGACGCCCGGAACTTCGGGAAACCCGGCGTTTCCCGCGGCTAATTCCCGTCGTCGGGTTTTCAGGGTGTCGAACCCTCGCGAAATTTCGCCGGTCGTCGAATTTCTGAAACGCGGGGACAATTATCGGCTAGGGCTCCGTCGTCGCGTCCCCTTTCTCGGCTTAATTCGCTCGGACGTAACCACGCCGCGGAAACCTCGCCGCCGAGAGGATCGATGAAGCGGTATAACCCGCTGACACGTTTCCGAGGAAAGTGAAAACGCCGAAAGTCGACGCCGCGACGCCGCAAGCTGCAGCGCGCCGCGCCGTTTTCGTGATTAAACACGGCGAACACGTCTTCGGGATCTACCGTCTGTTACGCGGTTGCACAGCCCACCGGGCTCTTTATGCGGGCGTACGCAGGACACGCTTGAAAGGTTCGGCAGGATGTGGAATGCTCGATACTTAAGGGGAGAATACTCGATACTTTTCGATTGAAACGGTGGTTAGCCTGCTTTTGTCGTACCGTGACTGACGGGTCTTCTCACTTTTCAATTAAAGTCGCTTTGTTGTGGCTGCGAGGTCGGCTGTTACGTTCTGTCGTGTCTCTGCTGCTCATTTTGCTTAATCGTTGCGCGAAACTCCTGGCTGGGGATTCTAAGTTGGTAGCGATCGTTGCGAATGCGAATTATGGATTTATCTTCGTGGGAAAACTAAGGTTGGGGATTTGAATTTATTGCAGTCGACAGTCTTGCGAATTACGTGCTCGATTTTCTCTGATTTGTTTCATTTGGTGGGAAATTTGAGAGCACACAGAAATTTGGTTTTCGAGCAGGACTACAAACGTACTATCTTTTATGTAAAAATTTTGATTAGAATTTTTAATTTAGTGGTAGCGAACATTTTCAATAAATTATGGATCTATTTTGTTTGATTTTACATGGAAAATTGACGCGGCAAGCCTTAATTATCCAGCTTTGTTTTCTTTGCGTCGTTTCAATTTGAAAATCCAGATTATAACTCTTAATTTGTAAGGAGATTACACGACTAAGCATTTTGTATCTATTTCTGTCCAGTCTGTTTAGCATTAACGTGGAATTTGCGACTATGCGTTCAGTATGTGAAGTACACTAAATACTCCAATCTTTGGTTAACTTTGCTGTTTTGTCGAAGAGGGAAGTAATTTGCGAAGTTCAAACGACGCGATAACGATTGATGATCGATAAAGTATAGATAATATACAGGATGTGTTACAACAAACATGTCACTATTAGTTCAGTTTAGGTAAAGGGTACCACGAGTGTCATCGTTCCCTAATATACATGACATACGAAACTTGACTGTTCTACTAAAGTATCACTTGACATTAGACTTTATCCATTACCATTATTACCATTGAATTTTCTATAAAACGTAGAAAATAAACTACAGAAATCATCAGGACAGTCAATCTCATTTCCGTTATTAATCACTATTTGTGCTGATTATGATACATCCGTGCTGCTTGTCGCGATTCACAGTCAATAGCGTTCCGTCACTTGAAACTAATTCGTAGGCAACGTTTGCGCTTTGATTTCTTCGATCTTTCCCATCGACAGCTGTATAAAAATTGTTCCCGAGCTTGCGAGGAAAATGTAGGAAAATTAGAAACTGTAGAGGATTAACGGATCCCAGGATCGATGGTTTCGTTAACACTAAACCTACCGCGGTCAAAGTGACTGCTTTCTTATTTTCCAATTCTGGAAAGTTCCAAGACTCTTTCGTGGAAAACACGCTTGAATAAGTTATATTATTGTGGAGCAAGTTTTATAATAAAAACTTTACAAATTCTAAATAAATTCGATCTTCTCGCTTTTGTGAGTTAGTACATGCCAGTTAGTATTACTGCTTGGTAGGTTTAGTGTTAAAGTTATGCCTCATCGGCTATGCGTCAATCGCGGAGAGATGTGCCCGTCGCCCGAGATTGAATTACGCCGGGACGAAAGCCGGGGTTACGGACGTTCCGCGATTTTTAACGGAACGTCCTAGAAATCAGTCAACGATCCACGAACCTATCGAAATCACCTGTAAATCGCGTGAAACACTAGACCATCTAGACTACCAGAGTAATTGTTCAAATATTGTAGCATTGTCGGACACGTCAGTCAAATGAAGAAACAGAGGTATCTTCCATTCTGATAGGATCATCTGCAATTGTGTCTAACATCCAAAGACTTGAAAAGCGATTCTGTATACCAGATTGTCATTAATGCAAATTTTAATCCATTAAATGGGGCATGTTTCCAGAAATTGTTTCTAAAAACTACGCAAACTGAAAGGATTAAAAAAGTGATTCGGCTTAGGTTGTAGTTTAGATACAATTAAGTCGATCGTTGGAGGATTTTGGATTGTTATAATCTAAAGGAAAATTGGCTTTATACGATTGTGTAGATAAGATTGTAATTTGGTTACTTTGTGAAAGGTGGAAAAGATGACTCCGCAAAAATTGTGACGAGCGCCGATAGATAGAATATCAAGGGTTGTTTTAGTCAAAGGAAACAACAGCTCCAATGCTACAAAATTAACCAGCCATCGACTGAAATTTCCTCGAAAAAATCCAATGCATTTGAAAAGCGATTCTGTACACCAAATTATGATTTGCATATTTTTTGCTAGATTAAATGCGTTGAATATTTAAAAATCGTTGCGGGTGTTGATCGATAGAATCGGGGGTTGTTGAAGCAAAATGGAACACATTGTCTGCTGGCATCGCTGCTATCCTAAAAAATCAAAAGGAGATAGAAAGCAGGATTCTGTAGATTGGATCGTGGTTCGCACATTTTTCGCTCGATTAAAAAGAGCGACTTCGTCGAGAGTCGTGCTAAGTTAGTCGGAAGCGGCGAAGGTGGCAGATCCTTCGGAAAATCCGTGGCAAAGACGTCCGGTTGCGTTTTCGCGGAGCAGCCGTGCGCGCGGAACGAGACCACGAAGCCTACTCCCAATTAGGAGCGTGTCGACCGTGAATGGACAAAAGTTTTGCCATGACTCGGGTTCCCCTCCTGCTCCCAACCCCGTGTCCCCTTGCTCCCCACCAGAAGCTTGCTCCGACAGCCAGTAGGGGAATCCCAGACCAGGTTCCCGAGATCCCCGTGCGGCGGCGACACTTGCCGAGACGCGTTCGACAACAAGGAGACGTGAGTCACGCGCGTTCTGACACCAACGAGCGCTAGAGGTGTGCGGATACATGCCCGAAATTACGGGCTCGGGACGGGACGGAAAAGTTCGGGCGGGATCGGGCGAGATCTCGATACTTTGTATTGCTCCGAATCCCGAATGTTCGTGATCCCGAAAGTCGAGTCGGCAAGATTCGAGCCGTGAACACGAGCGCGGGCGAAACGGACAAGCGAATATGAGCCGTTTATTTTGAAAGTGGCTTAAGTCACTTTGTTTTTAAGTCGATATATTTAAGGGTTTGCGTTTTAACAAGTTTAAAAATATGGATGCTAACTTTCGAGAAGATTTACTTGTATCTGTTAGC